CAATCTGGGATTACTGGGGGAGCAGTGAGAATCTGGGCATCGCGATCTGTGTATCTGTTGCAAAGTTTTGTGCACCGATTTGACTTTAATAAAAATTAGACGGCCACTTTAAACGAGGCCCAAATTTGCCAAATTTGCCCGGCCAGCTTGGCAGTAAATCAAAAACAAGTTAAGAAATTTGTGTCACCTCCGATCAATCGATCGAACGAGCGTCAATCGATCGCCTCAAAAATTGGCGAGGCGCATTGTACGTGATTATTTTATTGAGCACATTTGACTATTATTAGGGAAATCGCATTGCAGTTTCGGTATTTATGGAAACATGATTTATATCGTCGCCCCAACGACATTACGCATACGCAGTGTGGCTACCAATTTGGCAAAACACTAAAAATAAAACTAAAATAAAAAGCACAAACACACAAATAAAAGTAAGTTGCGTGTTAAACGCGTTTCATATATGAATAAAATGAGCACAAAGCATTTTGCTTATCATGACTATGACGCAGGCTAGTTAATTTATAGCTATTAGCTTATTTCAACCGAAGAAGAAACGAAGCTCAGATTTTTATACACATTTATTCACTTTCAAGAGCACTTTTTATGGCCTGAAACCATTCAAATTGAAAAAAGTATATACATATATTATTAATCAGCATTAACAAATCAAATTTGGCATAATATAATTCTTGGAAGATCAAGGTTAATTTAATATCGATAGAAATAAAATACACAATTATAAGACTATTGACCAACATTTGATATATAGCCTGTCACAACATTGACCAACTATAAAAACTCCATTAAGATCGGATAAGTATTTAATATCTGTGTTTAGGATATCTCCTAGTCGAGCTACTGCGACTGCATCAATCTAACTAGTTATAATTGTGTATTAATTTTCATTAGTTAGAACACCTTTTATGCTCTGTCCATCAAATCAAATATAAATGTTAATCATTTACTATTAGTTAGCCGGTCATTTAAAATTGTAATTTAAACATGGAAACATTTTAATGTGTACACCCATGTCCATATGGGGAGGGAAGCTGAATACAAATAGACGCAAGTTATTACAAATAATCAATAACAGTCATAAAGCTCAAATGGTCGACTGACTGACTGGCTGACAGTTTGGTAAACGTGATTTAGCCAAACGGCTTTTCATTGCATAAATGCGTCTAATTAAAAATTAGTGCAGTTTTTAATTAAGAGAAATACGAAAATGAGACTTCATAACCAGTTGCCAAAAACGGTAGAAAAAAAGCAACAACAGAAATTAAATAAATAAAATTGAGCAAAAAAATTGAACTGAATACCAAAACGACACAAAAAGGCAAAAGCGACAAAACCAACAACAGACAACAAGCACACACAACACAAATATACACAATACACACACACATTCACACACACACACACAGCAACAACAATATGAGAACATAACGCGTTGACAAAACGCTGCCTGCCATTTATGAAACCCATGTTGACATGCGCCGGGCACAGGCGACTTGCCACTGGAACAGGTGGTGGGGAAAGGGGTGGAAGGGAGGTAGGTGGTGTTGCAGTTACAATGCGTATGAAATAATTTCTGACGGCGTCGCTGCTTTTGGCCGGCAGCGGCATTTTTGCGACAATTTGCCGCCAGTTGCCACCAGTTGCCAACGGTTGCCAACGGTTGCACTTTATGGTCATGCGCTGCGCAGCCGACTCGCTCCAAATTCTTCGTGGCAAACAGCAGTTGCTGCTGCTGCTACAGTTGCTGTTGCAGCAGAGGAACGTGCCATAAATTGGCTAATCAAACGATGCTTCATTCTGCTGACCAACTGACTGACTGATTGTCGACCAGTTGAGATATAATTTGGGTATAGCTGCCATGTCCCCACGGGCAATGAAATGAGCAAGTGCATCATTGCGTCACCTTTGCAATCGGGGCCTGTCACTTTTACTATTGCGTGTGGCCATCGAATATTGAATATACCCAACAACAACAGAAATGCATATTCAATATATTCAAGGTGGATTCAATATTCGGCAACTTTAGCAGCCAGCAACTGTAAGTGTTTCTTTGTAAGTCAGCTGCCTAAAATCAAGAATTTTGTACTCGAATTCAGCACAAGCGTTGTCTAAATAATTTGGAGATTTTTTTAAATAGTTTTACTAGCTGTTTCAATTTCTTTTTAAATGAATAAAAGATGCATGAACATTTCTGATATTAATAACTTGACTAAGTGCAATAATATAATAAGATATTTTTGATGAATTGAATCATTTTTGGTAAAGATTTTGAACTCAGATTGATCCATAAGTTGACACTTTGAAATTCTTATATATTATAAAAAAAATTCTGGATATCTTGGTAAGTAAATATATAATGTGATATAGTATTTCGATCAGGGTTGCTCCGACATATGTACTTCATATGGCTACCGCAAATAAACGGAGATATGCTAAATAAATCGATTCAATTGCTGATGCTGAGCCAAGATACAAACTTCACTACAATTTGTATACTCAGCAAAAGCTGAATAATTCTGGCAATAAGTATTTTGTACTTTTATTTGAAATATAAATAAGGAAACGTAGAAAATTCTATTCCGAATGGTATTTGAATTTAGACCATGGTTATACTTTGAGTGCCTGTTTGAATATTAGCAAGTACTAATCAGAACTAACCCCATTTTTCAAAAATAGCAAACTGACTTTATGGTTTTCAGCTCTACACATAATGTGGGTTATATCCGAACCATATCCATAGTCCATGTCCACGGCTTGTATGTCTGATAGTAAAATGTTAAATAATTAATGTAGGCTTGCCTTGATACTATAATGTATACACTGTACAAATAGCTTATAAGATATATATATTTATATATACTTATGTCACTCTTAGTATTTGTATGTTTTGTCATACGAATAGTATAAAAACTTTTGCCTGGTTTCACCTTGCGCACTTATCAACACGGTCGAGTTGTCGGGTCAAAATGCTCGTACTTAGCCAGTAAATTTATGCATTCAAGTCATAAAAACAAAAATCAAGAGTGGCAGATAAGGCTTACATTTGTTTTGTTTTGTTTTTATTATTTTTTGTTTATTTTTTTTATAGGTATTTCACATAATAATTTCCCTAGACGCGCGGGTGAACGTACGCTATATAAAAAAAAAAACCAGAAACCCAAACGACATTTACAAGAAAAACGATAAAATTATGAAAATTTTCAAAATGTTCAACGACATTGTGCGTGTGTACTACCTCCCCGCCCCCTCCCCCCACACACATACAGGCACACACACACACACACACACACACACCTCTTAAGCAGCACATGGACTTCTATATATGGACATGTGTATGTCGTTTATGTGGAGCGCGCTAAATGTACATGTAACTTGTCATAAGCGCAACTTATTCAGTGCCTCGTTTGCCGACAGCTCAAACTCGACTTTGAGTACACTCAGAAAAACAACGGGACCGAAATCTAAAAGCTTATTTCATTTATTTAGTTAAAGCCAACTAATATCAGTCGTCTCAGAAAAATAGGAAGCAAATAATAATATTAATAAAAATTAATGTAATAACTTCAATTGAATTTACAAATTTTAACTCATTTTAATGTTTATTAAAATTCAAATATTACATTTTAATACAGAGACTTAATTATTACTATAATGATTGTTATTATATTTGTATATAATTAGATTATAGTTACATATAGAAATATAGTAGGTCAATTTGGACATTTTTTTACCAATTAATCAGAGGATTTTCTAAATTGCTGTATATATTTTTTCAAAGTGTACGACCTGAACACGTTCCAAGTCGTTGCTGTTGTTGTTCCAAGAATAATTGGCCAGCACGCGCGGCACTCGGCTTGTCATAGGAATATGACGGGGCAAGCTGCTCTCGCCTATCGCGCCTTCCAAATCACACGTAGGTGAGTTGGCCGGGCATTAAAATGTCGTTGATGTCTGAGAAAATTAAAATGAAATCCAATAAATTGAGAAGGAGAATGGAAAAAGCATAAAGCATTAATTGGAATGCGTTTACAACGCAAACACCTCGGCAGCTCGCCTAATCGAATTTGCATTAAGCGATGAGCAGCTAATAATCTGTAAACCAAATTAAAAACAACTTTCAACGCGTTCATGAGAAAACACATACAACAAACACAAAACCAAACGACCAACCCAAAAACAACAAAAAATAAATAAATGGGAGACTCATGGCTGCAAAATATTTCCAGAAAATTTAAGCTAATGAAAGTGCTGCTTTCCGGCAATGGCAGAGACCACCTTAAGAAATACTGTAAGCCATAATTCATGACCATCGTCTGGGAGGCCGCCCCCCGACAGCTATGCAAAGCAAAAGTAAAAGCAGGAAAAAAAAAAAACCAACCACTTCCTTGAGCCCCGCCCTCGCCGCCTCGTCGTCCCGGCGCAGACATTTGTGAAAAATGTGCTGCCTCGATGGGGCTAATGATAATGATAACAAACAGGCCTCTCAAGTCCTGAAGTCAGAAAGTTTTTGACATGCCGCGCTTCGCTACAGTCTCCCATCCCATCCCATCCCATCCCATCCACCCCTGAGAACTTGGGGGCATTTGACGCATACATATTTGCATATAATTCATTCATTTGCCTGCTATCCATCCATTTTGAAAATGTGAATTCTTGCGCATCATCATTGTTTGATTACTCGTGCTTTATACTTATTTATTACAAACTTTGTTTTCATCTCCCTTCATCTCATCTCCCTTTTGCCACGTTTCACAGTGCGCCTTTGCAACTTTTCACTTTCGTCGAGTTTCTTTGGAAAATCGCTTGATAAATTGGGGTCGAAATCATTATAAGCGTTACTGTTACTCATAGCCATTAATTTTTTGTGCGATTGCCAAACGGGCATATCGGATGGAATACAATAAAATATAAAGGATGTACGAGTTTTCGAAAAGGTTTCGTCTTTTCAAATTTACACAAGGAAATTGATGGCATTCAATGTGTTTGATGTTTCTTTCTGTTTATTTCTCGTATATTGGCAAACACAATCTGAATATTGGAAGTGTCGTTATTAATGCATTTGATGACAGGGCTCTTCAATATTATATTGGATTAAATCTCCATCTTTTTAAAGAAATGACAATCGAATCGAACCTCTGATGTCTTATTCTATTCATTAAGTTGAATACTATTGCCATTCAACTTGTGCTAGCCCTAAAAATAAACCTGAACCCGTTTAACATAACAATAACATATATATATATATAAAATGACAATTCATATATCAAAGCACAGTTGACGCACTTGACCAACCCGGCATTCCTGTCTGCATTTGGGGCACAGCTGTTGTTCACGCAGCCATTGGGTAATGCAATTCTTCCCGAATAGGTGGCCACAGGGCAATGAGACGATGGAATGATCCCCAATTTCGGTCGTTTCGGAAAAACACACTACGCAGGTTGTCCGATTTTGGTCGTCGTGAAGTTTCCGATTAATATTCTCCAATTCTATATTCTGATTGAGTGTCTCTTCCAATTTGTCCGCCAAGGTACTTATGGCTTGCTCCAGCCCTTCGGTTGCCGTCATACTATTTACAATAGCGGTTAAAGTGTTAACCACCGTTTTGCAATCATTCATTACTGTCTCAAAGATTTTCGTTGTGTCCACCTCAGCAGATCCTGTTATTGTTGTCTTCCCTTCCATGAGCCTATTTCTCTCTTCGAGGAGAGCTTCCACTTCAGCCTTGAGCGCCATGTTTTGCTGAGCCAGAGTTGGTCTCTTGCAAGAATGTGTGACAGGACGACCTCTCCTTTTGCTCATTTTTACAATTCCTACGAATGGATATATGCAAAAAATAATATTTCACAAATATTTACAAAAAACGTACCTCATTCAGTGAAGTATATAATGAAATAAATTTTGTTATTTCCATTTGTAAACTGCGAGGCAAAGTAACTATAGAAAATTCTAAGCCTACTACAACTTTACTTTTGAGAATATTTTGTTAGATACTATTATCAAATTTGTGCTTATCACATGTTTTGAAATATTGATAAGAGTAAATGTCGCAGGTTCGAAGAGGGGCACATAATTATATAAGCATAGCAGAAACATAACAAGATCAATTTTTGATACCACCCCATTCCCTGATCGCAAAAAAGCAAAGCAGAAATATATATCAAAAATATTTATCGAAATTTATATAAAATTAAGCAAAAATCATAGTTCCGAAATTATCCCGTATTCAAATATTCTTTCGATAATTAATAATATAATATAAAAATGATTTTTACCAATAATAGGAGAAAGAAAGAAAAACTGTCCATAAGCCCGTCAAGTAATAGTATTTTCAAAAATCCTTGGCGAGGAAGGGTCTATGTATAGACTTGTTGTACAGATCTTAATTCACACCCCTCGTCAACACACATGCTAGCAAAACAAACAAACAGCTGGAACTGAAAAAGCCGAGTCTACTTAAAGGCGCCGTTTATCAGGGGTGACTTTGTCCATGAATCACTTTTTAAGTGACTGCCGCATAAGTTGCCCATACCCCGAGGCCCCCGTAGATGCTGCCCGGCTGCCCGGCTGCCCAACTGTTAGGGTGGTGGTGGTGTCAAAAGGACAAGTGTTGGGACAAACCGTTATGAAAATTCAATTTTGTGTCGAATTTATTAAAAGCAGCTTAAAAATCGTAAGCGCGTTGAAAAGTAGACATTTGGGAATTTCGACAAGTGCAGTTTTGAACACTTTTTGCCATCATCTGGGGGCGGTTTTTATTACGGGACCAATTTCTAGATCATGTCTTACCCGCAGGCCTTGGCCCTAATGGAATAATTTGGGTTTTAAGTTAATCAAATGAGAGAGAGATAGAGAGAGAGGGAGAGAGAGAGAGTGAGTGAGAGGGGAAGGGGAGTTAGAGAACGGCTCAAGAAATGAGAAACTGGGATACTACTTAGAATTCTCATTTGAAAATTATACAAAAGCAATTCCAAATAACTTTAAGTGAATATATAAGTTGAGATATTTAAGAAAATATTTAAGATATTTAACAATCATTAAACACATATACAAAATGAAAGACATAAATTTCATAAAATTTCAAATTCAATTCGCTGATAATTCTTTAAAAACTCAAACACATCGCAAAATTTGCTCAGTCTAATTCCAGCTCATATAGTACTTTGTAATATTTTGAATATCTACCCCCAAAAAGAAAGGGGCGTAATGCAGCCACGCCCACACGCACCCCATATACTTGTTCAACACTTTGGTATTATTGAAAGCATACTCCAGGGCGAACAAGTGCATAATATTCCCATTGTTTTGTTTTATTTGCGACTTCTTCTTGTTCTCTGGAGGGGATGTTGCACAAACGGGCATCCGTTGCTTTATGGCCGAACAATGTAAACATCAACATCATTGCCGTAAGACTGCTCAGAAGCGTTTCAAAACTGTATTATATTAATTTAATATGCAAAAAAAAAAAAGGAAAAAAGAATGAACGAATAAGGTTGGAGAGGGATATCACGAGGGTTAACAGACATTTTGACATATTTTCATTTTCATTTTCATTTCGTCGCTTACCATAATTTCCCCCTTTCGTTGCAAGGATTTTAAAACCCGCCCGAAGGGTGCCACAAATTCCTCGTGCCAAGTGCGCAATTTCAAACGCAGTCGGCAGGTTGACTTTTGTCTTACAGTTGGGGTGGGGGCGGGATGGCAGGAAGGGGATGCGTGGTGGTCTAAGCAACCCTGGAGGGTTGAAATACTATGCTCAGGCTATGCTTATGATTATGATATTATTTCGAAATTATCCGCTTAGTTTCACGGAGTGGAAGCAGGACATATGTGCGGGCCATTGTGTGGAAAATGAAATCATTTCACTGTTAATAATGATGACATATGATTTTCATTGTCAAATTTGTCGTTGTTGTAGTTATTCTGCTGATGTTGTTGTTGTTGTTGTTATTGTTGCTTTTAAGTGAATTAGTCATTTTGCCTTTTTATTGAGAGTCAAAGTCAACTCTTCCTGACAATACGGGTAAAGTCTAGCCGGTTGTGTTCAATTTGTTGGCACATCATTAGTCATGGATTTTTGGGCATGGCAAGGTGCACGGGCGTCCATTGACGCATCTGTCTTACTTTTGCTGGTCGGACTTTATTGTACTCTGTTAACGAAGGTATAAAATTATATTATTTTTAATCGCAATTTTTGCGACACCCTTTGAGCTGAAGACTTGAAGCTTTGAGCATATATTCGCTTGTGAAAATTGTGGCACTACGTTCAATGGGCTAGAAGATCGATAGAATCAATAATCGCAGATCGATAACAGCTAAATACAGTCGTAAAATGACTTTCGTTAATATTAATCTTTTGTGATATTAACCGCAGATTTGCTGAAGTTAACAAACTTGTTTTATTAAAAACCTTCTCTTCACATTGGATAAAAAAAAATGTTAGCCACATCAAGTCTTAACTAGATTTACATAACTTGGAAGGCATGTTTTTTAGAAATCGTAGCGATTGGTAAACAAATTTTATAACCACTTCCAGCTCACGCTCAAAAATTGCAATAGCCTGCATCTCTCGCAAATTTTAATGGGAGTGCGCAACTTCACCAATCCCGCAAGAAGGTTCGTTATCAGCTGTGACCAGTTGATATAATACTATTATCAGAGTATGCCGCAGTCGGTTAAGCCCGACTACTTGTTCTCCCTTGCTCTAGTTTTGCGATTCTGTTGAAGGGTTTGCAATATGCCGCAAACCATTGACAAACTTGTTGAGTTCTTGCCTGTTTGGTTAACTAAATGTGAGCATATCTAATTTAATGTTTTTTTTTTTGTTGTTTTTATTTATGACGTTTGTAATCGAATGTCTGATAACGAACTATAAAGTGACGTTATGATTGGTGAAGTTGGCATCTACGATCTGATAACCGACTATATAAAGGAAGTACAATAAACCTGACTGATTTGGAATTCAATATTAAGTAAAAGAAAATAGTCAAACTGCACAAATTAATTTTAAATTCTAAGCCTCAATGCTATGTGTCCATATATTATTGATATAATTTACTTAACTTATAAAACTGATTATTGATAACAGACTAGTATTTTGATTAATAAGCTTGAGCATTTTCTAAGAAAAATATCAATAAATATCTGTAAATGTATCTTTTAATTTCCTATTTATTAACCTTATTTTTCTCTTAAGTGAAAGCCTTTAATCTAATTTGCTAGCCTCATAAAACATTGCAATGAAAAAGACAAATATAACTAAATATCAATATATTTTTTGTCTTGCCGATCATCTCTATTTATTAAGCTTATTATTATCCTTTTTTTTTAGGTAATTTCAGCTCAGAAAAATAAATTGAAATTTATTTAGAAGGCTTTAATCTCTTTTGCTGGCCGCATAAAACTTTACTCAAATATGGCAATCGGATCACGTTCGGATCATCAATCACATGGCCGGCGGGGCACTTTACAAAAAATTTTTAATGGCCGCCAATCAATGCGAGGCCAAAAAATTACGATATGTCACTGTGACCAGCACCCTAACCCCAGCCTCTGCTTGACTATGCCCACCCCCTCCCCAGCCCACTTTCTTCTTTTCTTAATTCAGTTACGCCCCCCTCTGCCCCTGCCCCGTTTACCACCTGCTGTGCGGCAAATTGTATTTCTGTCATGTTGATAAACGCAAAATTCACTGACCAGGACTTGGATTGGGGGCAATGAGTAGACTTGACTCGGTTATATGGGATTACGAGTACGGTCGAGTTGTACATGACAATGCGTGCTCGCCAAACAGGAAGACGAGAAGACGGGAAGACAGGAATATCGGAGTGCAGGCGTGCAGGATTTGCTAAAAACAATGCTAGGCAAATTAATAAATAAAGTGAAATGGGCCGACGGGGAAACTGGGCAGGAAACAGCTACAAAAACCGCTTGACAATTGACATTTACAAATTTCATGCAATATGTTTTACGTTGAGTTCGTGTATCTGCCGCAACTTGTGTGGCGTCTTCGTTATTCGCTCGTCAGACGCCCCAAGCATGGGGCGGGGTCGTCCTCCGCGAGGAGGTGGACCTGTGGGTTATAAAAATAAAACCTGCCTTTTGCCATATGCCATTTAAATGATAAAAGGATTTCGACGTAACACACACATACAAACACACACACACACACACACACACACTCAGAGCTCGCTGACCACCCCAAAACAAAAACAAAAAAAAAAAGAAATGGCAGAGAACACGTGGTCAATTGCGTTTGGGGTCAACCCTTTCGCACGAACGCCATCATTCTGCACCGGCGCCTGCCCCACACCACACCCACCACCCCCCACCCGCTGCCCCATGCTTATGCTCCGGCCTCGAAGTGTCAGCACATTTTTCAAAGGAGCATATAAAATGGCAGTCATACATTATGTCCATATCTGCCCGCCGGCCGTTGTCCATTGTCCGCTGTCTCCTTCTCCACTTGTCCCCTGTCCATTGCTCGTCGCTTCGTTGTCCATTCTCTGTTTGTCCGCTGGGGCAGGCAGGCGGGCGGGCGGGGGGTCAGGCGGGCATTGAGGGGAGCCCGGCGACAAATGTGACCCTAACCTCCCCACATTTTATATGTAATGCCTCGAACAGATTATGCATTAAGCGCTTATTTAGCATTTTTCTTATATAATGTTGTGCCACGACCACTTTGCAATTGGTGTGACCATCAATTCCCACCCACCTTGAGATGGGCAAAAATGCATGAGCAACTTTTCTGCTTGTAGATAGCCAAGCAGCAAAGGGTTGTTAAAATGTACAAAGTGGCAGAGCATT